AAATAATAAACGTCGAGTTGTTTCCTGTTCTCATGAAAACTAGGCTGCAGCTTCCATAATTTCAGATTGAACAACATTCTCTCACGTTAGTCAGATGAACATGGCACTAAAAGTTTCTGAGAGTGTATTGTGGTGTGTTTTTTTCATAATTTATTTTCATAGGCAGGTGGATGGATCAACTGGTAAGCAATTTTCATTCGTTCAGTTGCTGAAAATTCACCCTCAAATTGATATACAGGGTGTTGCGAAATTCGACCGACAACGCTTGACAGGTGATATATAGCCCTCGTGATTTCATGATCACTGATAATATACAAAAAGTTGTTTCGCAATATCTCAAGAAAAATCAAATATAATGCATTCAACTTCGGTATATGGTTTCATCTTTGAATGGGTCATTTTTTGACCAGGAAGTCATTCCGGACATTTCATCCAGTGGTGCCCTACAGGGGGTTGTGGCCACTTTTCCTCACATATTTTCTACGCCACTGATTAAATTTCAATTATATCCAATTATACGAATTCATTGTTCAATTTTGTTCAAAAAATTCATCACCTTCAATTGAGATCAAATGAACAGTTTTCGAGATATTCGACCCAAAATAGAAGATTGCATAGTATTATTTTATCATTTTCAGTGGTAGAAAATTGCGAAACTATTTTTCTGGTGTTGAATAGATTAGATACTTTTCAGATCTCATTCTGAAGCTGGCCAAAAATAGTTATTCCACGCATAAAGAGACAACCAAAATTTTTGTAATTTTCTACTACTGAGGAAGATGAAAAATTACTATGCAAACTTATATTTTGGGTCAAATATCTCGATAACTGTTCATTTTAGCTCTTTACAATGAGGCTAGGAAATGTATATTTTGAATGGAGGTAGGCAGAGAAATATATTCTTTCGGATTGTTAATCGATAGGTTCTGGACTTTCTGCAGGTTTATAAAAAACTCCAACTTTTCTTGGAATACTTGTAGGTATTCTCTCTCTCTTGTAAAAAAGATATTGACGTGAACAAAATATTATTTTCTTGAGAAGGGATCACACTAACTTCATCCCAAAACATGATTTAATCACTCGTTTTCATCACATTGCGTTAAGTTGAGCATGATAGTAACTTTTGTTTTTCCTTGTTTAATGACGAAAAAATGGGCTTTTATGGAAAATGGAATTCAGGTAATCATTTCAAAACATAAATCCACGATATGGTCGAAATTTCCTCGAAATCGGAAAAAAATTAAAAAAGTTACAAGGCGATCGACTTGTCGAATTTTTTTGCTGGATGTTTTTTTTTTGCTGGTAAGTGGAGATTCTTGTCATCAATATCATTCACGGACATATTTTGTTTATTGGGCTCAGCATGTTTATTGTTATATATTTGGCATACTCTGTAGATATGGATCAAGGTCATAAATTGTGTTTCAATGTGGACGAAATACTCGATAGATCGAGTGTTGGGGTTCCACAACTCGACGAGACAAATGTGACAAATAAATGTCGTTTATTCATTCTCCTGGAAGCGATAAATTCATCTGGTCATCGATTACCAGATATCCCTTTTCCGAACATTCATTAATGCCCATCCACCGAAGCGGTTTAATTAAATTTTACAATAGATGTGTGCCATTGCTTTGGTTCATTCTGCCACATGTTCACATACGGTTTTGTTTTTTTTCATCTTTTGAAGCGAACCAGAGTACGTGGAACAATGTACACAACTAGTTGGAATATAGGGATTAGATGAATGCATTGCATATTTTCACAATTTCTACAGGTGATGAATTCCTCGTTCATCCTTTTCCTAGGCAACGAATACCGAATTTATGGCATTACCTGGACGAATGAGTTTGGTAGAAAGTTGTTTGAAATATTCTGAGATTGACAAAAGGATGTGCTGACTGGGCTGGTCGAGTTAGTTTGACCAGTATTGTTAGTAATGGAATGATTGCCGAGATTTCGGAAGAACTATTTCCATAAGTTTCGAATTGACTCGGCCGTTACTTGATAGAAATCATAAGGAAATCATCTTATGTTTGGGTGCAGAAGCCAATATATGGAAACAATATTCCAAAACGAGCCAGAAATAAGCTTTGTAGATCATGAGGAGCTCTTGAGGTGTGAAGTAGTTTTTTACACAAAAAAAATGCCGAATGGATCTGACATGATTTCGCCATGGGAGAGTATTATTTGGTTTTCCACGACTAGCTCCAGATCGAGGAGGTTACCACTAAGGAAATGCGTGGAACAGGTCACGAAATACCTTTTCTGAAATACCACGAAATGCCTCGAAATCCTTGAATGCTTTGAAATCCTTTGAAATACCTTGAAATGCTCTGAAATTTTCTGAAATGACATGAAATAAAATGAAATGTCATTTCCGTGATACCATGGAATGCGTTGAAATCCTTGAGATACTCTGAAATTCCTTGAAATGTTATGAAATCTCTTGAAATGCCATGAAATACCTTGAAATGCTATGAAATGCCAAGAAAGTCCTTGAATTGCCATGAAATGTCATGGAATGCTTTGATTTGTATTATTTTGTATCGAATAATTTCGAACGAACATTGTATAATCGCATTTTAAAGAGTTATTTTTTATATCAACATCAACCTAACCTCTCGAGTCCGACTCGAGTGCCATCGGAGCGTTTTAATAGAAACAGGACGCATCGAATATTACAAGCAAGCCGTGCGAAAGCAAGTAAAAATAGAAAACATTTCCGGCCTCTAACGAGACGCGTGACAATATTTGGTGGGTTCTGTCTCTAGTTGTTGTCGATGTATCGTAGTTGCACCAACTGAAAATGGAAAGGACCCCGCATATTAAGTACGGAAAATGGCTTTCGGCAAATTTTTCTGAAAATTTGACATGTTTCAGATATTAGAAATCACAGCCAATAGAAAACGAAACAAAAAACAGAAGAAAGTAAAAAAAGCACACTCGACTGTCTTGATTTTTTTCCCATAAACTACGTACCTAGCTCACTCGACTGTCTTTATTTTTCGCCGATAAACTAGATACCTAGCTCACTCGACTGTCTTAATTTTTTGCCTATAAACTACGTACCTAGTTCACTCGACTGTCTTGATTTTTTTCCCATAAACTACGTACCTAGCTCACTCGACTGTCTTTATTTTTCGCCGATAAACTAGGTACCTAGCTCACTCGACTGTCTTCATTTTTTGCCTATAAACTACGTACCTAGTTCACTCGACTGTCTTGATTTTTGCCAATAAACTACGTACATAGCTCACTCGACTGTCTTGATTTCCCACAAGGAAGAAATATGTTGGCATTGTTTTAACTTTCTTTTGTTTTTGTTTCTTTAGTCCCTATTGGCAGTCGAGTGGGCTAGGTACGTAGTTTGTGTGGGAAAACCAAGACAGTCGAGTGGGCTAAGTACGTAGTTTGTGGGAAAAATCTCCAGTTCTCTGAACTTTCATAGCGTCGTATACACATCTTTGGTGCCCAATGATAGTTTCAATATAAAAATATGCTCATGATATGGTGCCATGGCCTCTACTTCCATCTTACATGAGCAATGATAAAATATCATCTGCTTTTATATTAACGACTTATATTATCAGGTCCTCCCTAAAAATTGCATTCTCTTTGCCGATGATACAACGCTTATTGACAAAAATAGTAATCTACATGAGCTAACCCTCTCTTCTACCCACACCCTGGAATTGGCTGAGAGGTGGTTTTCCTCGAATAAGCTCATGCTCAACGCCGAGAAAACACAAAGTCTTCTTATATCGTCAAATCCTACAATTGCCGATGGAAATTATGTGAAATTACTTGGAATCCATATTGATGATAAACTCAATTGGTTGTCCCACATTAACAAACTTGCTAGTAGATTATCCAGTGCTATATTTTTAATTCGTAGACTGAAACAATCGGTGGGCATTGGTACCCTCAGGTCTAGCTATTTTGGTCTCTTTCATAGCCATATGACATATGGTCTTATTTTGTGGGGCAGTTCTTGTCATGCAAGCAAAATATTCATTCTCCAGAAAAGAGTTGTGAGGATTATGTCAGGTGCCGGATACAGTGATCACTGCCGTCCCCTTTTCATCAGGCTTCAAATCATGCCACTTCCAACTGCATATATTTTTCACACACTTATTGAAATACATAAAAAGAGACTGAAGCTCCCCTTACAGTCAGATTTTCATCCGTACCCAACAAGGACAAGTAACTTACTGAGAACTACTAGATACAGGCTGGCAGTATCTCAAAAGAATTCTTTAAACTTCGATTTCTACAACAAACTTCCGATTAAAATAAGACAAGTCAACGACTTCCAGTTTAAAATGAAAATCAAATCATTCCTTCTAAAGAAGTGCTTTTATTCAGCAGATGAGTTTCTCAATTACAGTTTCGCGGCGGATGATCTGTGAAGAACACTTTTTCTTTTCATGTAACGTGTCGTATATCAACTCTTCATGTAGTTTTATTATTCAATTCTGTTACTTTCACTGTGACTTGCTAGTGTTAGCTTTTATTTCATCATTGCAGGCATATTGAAAGGGTCCGCATCATCTCTATTTCTCTATTATCATTAAGTTTATGACTATCCTTACAATATTTTATATATTTGTGCTGTTGTCCTGTCATACTGTTTTAATGACTTGTAGAATGACTTTAAAGTGTGTGTGTGATAAACCAGCGTCTTGTCTGTCTATTGTACAATTTTGACTTGCTACAAACATTCAAATATGTAACGTAGTTCAATAAACTTTACTTTACTTTACTTTACTATAGCGTCGTATAAATTATCCTACCTCTATACTAATCTAATACCTAATGTAAACTACATCTATACTAATCTGATACCTTTCAAAAACTACGTACCTCACTTGTTTTATTACATACGAAAACATATTTCAAACTTTTGGATACTTTTTGGTGCTGCGTTACTTTTTTGGGACTGTATTTTTCTCATCACATACTCAACTCATTTTGATAGCATATTTTTTTGTTTTCAGAGCCGATGGACTTCAGGGACACGCCTACGATGCAGAGAGGAGTGGAAGGACAAGATGTTGCCTTGAGATGCGAAGTCAGTGGTCCATCCATAATATCCTGGATTGTGCCTGATGGAAATCTAACGAGTAAATCAGCATCATATTTTCATCTTCATCAAATATCATGTTCAATATTATTTCCTACGAGCGTGCGGAAGAGTCAGGGCCACTTTATAAACAACTTCATGACTTAAGATTCATCACCTTACATTAAAGGCTTATCACTTATGACAAATGGAACATGGAAATATCATCGGTCATGTTATAAAACCATTTGAGACTTATGATTTAACATTTAAGATTTAAGAAGATGACCAACTTCCAACTCAAGAAGTGCTGATAAATGATCATAAATGGAATGAGGAGTGCGCATCCAAAAGTGACATCTCCATTTCCCGCCATTCAAAAATAATTCAAAATATATTGTGTTGTTATTCCTGAATATTTGTTCTTATTCTTATTGATACTGAACCGTTCTTTAAAAATACACTAGAATGTCGCAATTCTGTTGCCTCCATATTTGGCATAAGATCCAAGGAGTGAGCCAGTTTCTGTTAGGCAAGGAATAGTGATTACTTTCAAAATGATGTGGAGATATAATGGATGTGGGTATCATTTTAGGGATATGAATATAAATCAATATAATGATATCAGAATATGAAATTTTGATTTCCAACCAGTTTCTAGCTTACTAAACTTTGAAAATCTGGTTCTGTATCAGAAACTAGATGTCAGTAATGACAGAAGACATGTATCGCCCTAGAATCTTAATTTTTTTTATAACTGTCTCCACTTAAGACTCTTCATGAAGTCACCCTTACTTTTCTGCACGATTTTTCGTTTTTAAAGTCGTACTTCTCCGTACGATTTTACTTTGCTGCATAATTTCAACTTTTCCGCACCTTTTTCGCACGATTTTATCATGGTTATACCACGAGAGCACAAATCTAGCCAGATATTTTTTGTGGTTGTCTTAATCGAATACTTACTTTCATTGAAAATTTAACAATTTAACGAGAGCTGATGTTCTAAAAAATTTACTAGAGCGTACATTGTTTTCTTCACGTGGGAATTCTCTATAATCTTCCTCATTCCGTTTATTCATATTGAAGCCCCAGTTCATCAATATTCCTGCCACATTTTTCACTGACTGTTCGGTTTCCAAGTCTCGTTGTTTACAAAATTCGCTAAATTGGTTATTCCAAATGGAGCTATTACTTCTTCTTGTATTATCTGGAGTTGATTTTTCAATCTATTTCCCCATTTTTGCCTTGCAAATGTTTCCAAATATCCACATACTGGAATATCTTTTCCTTTTTATTTCGGTTTTCGGACATTTACAATTGTCAAACTGATGCGACGCACAACACTTGATAAACGAACAGTAAATACAGATTCAGATTAGATTTTTTCAACCACTTGCATTTCTGTTCTTTCATCTGAGTGGAATCGTCAATGAAATCATGCGGAAACGTTACTTTACCGCACGAATTTTGTATTGTTGAAAATGAGGATATTAATGAATATTATGTATGAATAATATGTATGAAAACACTAGTAGGAAAAATATTGTACCTATACCTCTTGCGGAAAATGCCTTTTTCTCCCTTGATAGCTTGACGAACTGCCGTTGCGTACGGAAAACCACTACTTTCCGCACTTGTTAGGTGAATAAGTATTTCATACTTGAATATTCCGAATTGATTATTCATTCGAGATTCCACAAATCCGCGGTTGAAAACTATTCGACACCTATTTGAGTCGTATAAAATCAAAACTCTGTATTGGCTACATTTATGTCATTTTGTACGCGATAAACTGCTAGATCATGATAATCTGCAGTTATTACATCGATTTTTCCAGATGCTTATACTATGTGAATTCTCGAAAAGAAACCACAGTAATCATTTCAAACATAAAGATCGTTATCTTCGAGTTGAATCAATCCGTAACAAAAATTATTTTGACTGAAAATATAGTAGTTGAACTTTGAACATTGAGAAATGAGTTGGAATGAATACACAATGGGTTATACGCAGAAACGCTTTCATCCAAATTCAGTACAAATTGAATTTTCATCTCCTCCATATTCAGGTACAAAGTATCGAATTGATATTCCAAAAATTTTTTGAACCTCTCTGGTGTACTAATCTCAAAATACCTAAGGATGTTTATATCTTGTTTCACTTTATCTGTGGTTGGGTATAATTTTCTATGGAACTCGTGTATTCCATTCATCAACAAATTCTTGCAAAAGTATATTTTCTTCTGATGGATGAATGTCGAAAAGGTGGAAATAAGTGCTTTTGTATACTTCAGTCTCATTATGAGAACTCAATAATCCAAATGAATGAAATGTTGGTATTGATACTTATTATTTTTTTGCTAATAATTGTCCTCATTTCAGGCAATATTTCCATGTTAATTTTCGTAAAGAAATAGGTATCATTCTGCTTGGTCAGTTGATCTGAATCGATTGGTCTAGTGTAACATTTTCAATTGATCCAATATCAAATCGCATTCCACGTTGTCTCCATTCGTGGTTGCAAGAATTCATAGTCGATGTAGTAGTCATGCAATTCCTGTTAATTTCTCAAATAGCTCATGAATTGAACCATAATCATGGACATTTCATGATGATAGCCTTATTCCCAGTTCATTGAACTGTCATCATGTCGGACCCTTTTCCAATAGTCTCATTCATAATAGTCTCATTCATTTATGATTTATTGTAATATGAGCATAATTTGTTATCTTTTTCATTCACAGATCCAAAATATAAAATAATTGGGGACGGATTGTTAGTCAGGAACATAAGTCGTGAAGATACGGACCAAGTTTATTTATGTGAAGCTTCTCAAAGGAGTACAGGGGAACTCAAACGTCGCAACATAACGCTGATAGTAGAACGTGAGTATTAACTATGATTTATGAATGTAAAATTCAATTTCAATCAAAATCGATTCCAAATTTTGTGAAGGAACACCAATTTCCTTATTGGAGTAATGAGGGAGTCAAAATAATCTCAGAAGTATTGACGCTCTGCCACAAACTTAAATCAGTTATAATCTCGGCACGTTTGAATATTCGCAAAGGCGACATCATCCCCTTTTATTTGCTCCTTGTTTCACCTCGTTATAACATGATGGAAGTATCTTCAGAATGATAGCAGCAAATAAATCGTTGTGCCTTGGATTTGGCTATGTTTTTGGAATGTATCATTCAATTGGTATTGGATGGCACAATTCTTGTTTCGTTATCAAATCGCTAATTCGAGTGCAAATTTCCGCACAGGAAAGTGCCATCTTTCAATCATTTTGCTCACGATAATGATTGGCACAGGTGCCGTTCGATGAACTACAATGATTTCACATGCCTTTGGGAATTATATCATTTCGTTATCACATGACGATAGAAATTTGCAGTCGGCTCTTAGACTATAACATGATGTTCGTTGAGAATTAGTATTTTCAGAACCGTGCTGAGCGAACCATCGGGTGTATTATGAATATATCTCATCCTATCGGAGTTAAATCTTGAGTTCATAGATTCTTGGGATACAAGTGATGGAGAATCAATTAAAATATTTCAATAATGCGATATCTCAGAGAATTGGGGTTGGTAATTCATGAAGATTCTGATTAATTTTGATTAACTGGAATCGCAGTTTACGAAAAAACCGAGCCAGTGCCACTTGTACTTGCTCGTTTGCTTGGGCACTTTGTGCATCGAGAAAAATCCAGTTATACAAGACTTTATTCAAAAACATCCTATAACTGCTAATAGGAACATTAAAACCACGAAATGTCATCTGATGAACGTGAAAAGTCAACGTTTTCAACGTGAAACAGGTCACCTTTTAAAATGGGCTTATATCACAAAAAAATGTTATTTCATAATTCGATAGAACTCACCCAAACTAGCTCACCACCGTAAACCGTTTCTTGCTGTGAGCTCCCGACGTTTTATAAAAAATTATTGAAATCCCCGATTTTTCGGACCTCTGAAAACAAGGCGATGATGTGACGTCAAAACCCTAATACTGAAACAAAGACTATTCCAGACAAAGATGAATGATACATGATTTCTGACAGAGTGAATTAGCGCGAGATAACAGTTGAAAGAATTAATATACCAGTTGCCTCAGTCCCCGTAGGGCGTTTGGTATTTTCTTTTAACTATGGCGAGATGAGGTTTCTACGTCATAAGAGGGTCCGTTTTCAGAAGGTACTATTATTTATGCCCAAAAATAAAATATTCCAGTTAATTTTTCGATCGAATTATGTCGTCAATCATTATTTTTGTATAAAAGGATCATTATAAACATGGTTTGAGTTAAAAGTTCTACTAAGGTGTACACGCCCATTACTTCTTTTGTTTTGAAAAGCTTACCTTGTACATTTGCAGGGGAACAAAATCATAGTTTGAAGATGGAATTTCAAAGAGAATCATTTAAATCTTAGAAGATGTCATTTTGCAGTCATACGGGTATCATTTAAGTTCCATCTCTTCTTCATTCACCATCTTTGTCATACTCGTTTACCACAATGAGTCTTCTCACTCACTCATGAACACTTGTTCCATCAGAATCGTGACTCGTCTACAGATACCTGATATGTAAGGACATATTACCCCCAGCAGCAGCTCTTCTAGGAATTTGAGGAATATATTTGTTCATATACCCCTCCCAGTATAGAATTTGTTGAGGAACTACAGGAAGTTGAATTGCAATAGGGCTGGCTTCATAGTGTTTTCAAGATAAATCGGTAATGTATCGAAAATTCTTCCAATTTTGATGCACTTTTGAATTTTTAAATTACCTCACTAGCCACTATCAAGGCAAAAGCTTGGATTCACACAGTTAAATCGGTGATAGATTATATTCCGTATACTGTATGTCCAAGATGAGAATGTCTTCATATCCTCATCTTGGACACGGTGTATATGTATTCATTTGATTCGTATAATTCCTTTTGCTGCTTCATTATTCTCAAGAATTCTAGCCATCCTTTAGTAGATATCAGTATATTGTTAAACGAGCACGAAATGATAGTGATTTCCTACGAGAATGAAGTTTGCAGCATGAGCCATAGGCTAATGCTAGAATCATTCGAGTAGGAAATCAGCATTCCGTGTAAGTTATACACTATAATTTTTCTACGGCTATAACAGCGGCATTTTCGATTTCTTCGTCTTGTAGCCATCTGATTTCCTGTCAAGTAATGCTCATCTATTAGACAGAGCTGTCATTGCTTCACATTTCACATTCCACACTGTAGAAAATTCCTCTGAGTGAATGCATATGTGGTTGTGAGTGAATTTACTGATTGAAATTTTCGAGTGAATTGTCAACTCAAACTAGATATTTCATCAAGTTCTCATATCGATGAGAATGTTTATAACAAATTTGATTGAATCGGTTCATGAATTATTACCATTTCACACAGTCAAGTAGGGTGAAATTTCAACTCAATCAGGCGTGGACCGAAATTGACTCATTATTGCGTGGACCTTGAGTGAAATTTCACTCAATTTTTTTTTTCAGTGCATGAGCGATGAGATTTTTTTTAAATTATAACACAGGATGGAGTCATTGTGATATCAGATACAGAAATAATATTGATGACATACAAAGTACCTCATTGACGTATCGAACACAGTAAAACGAAAAAAAAATTGTGTTATAGCCGTAGAAAAAAGGTTTTTCGTTTCGTGATTCGTGAACCCTTATTCACTGACGCCACCGTGTACATTTTTGGCAACTATGTTAAATAATAATCCAAGGTAGTGACGAGAAGAACAAATACTTCAAATTGGAAGCATTTTCATCGTAGGCAAATTGAGATATTGTGTACAGAGTATCTCGCTTTCGTGATGCACTTCAATGCCCTGTAGTTTCAATAAAAAACTCTACTTGGGGGTAAGTATATTTACAAAGTAGATATGTCTTCAATATTCCTAGACGATCTTTAACCAACTTCATTTTTTTGAAATAAGAATCAGTTACCCTTATACTGAAATGCCAATCATTTGACTATTGAATTGAAAGCGAATTATATTGATATTAGCATAATATTATATTAATGATATCACTATTCAATATTGGATGCTGATCATTTGACTCCTATACGAGCTCCATTTCAGTCTCATATAAGTGTTGTTCCACAGTTATATGAATTTTTCGAGAAGATTGACTTGATTACAGTGAAAACGGAACTATGCTGATGCCTATTCAATTCAGAAATCTTTTGAACGTTATACAGTTTCGTATAACAGCAAATAGATATTCATCTCGGTGTGAATAGGGGATGGCGAGTATAACAAGCTTTCAGTCGTTTTTCATATCATGTTCGGAATATTTCAAAGCCTTTCCTGAAAGGTTCCAATTTCTATCTATTTAGGCAATGGTCCAACTACGAGCCTCCATTTCTTTAGAGATATGAAAATAATCCTCCGACCTCCATGCATTTGTAAAGGACATCATCATTTATAAAATACATCATCATTTCCAGCAATTAGCAACTCATCACAACTTCATCATCTCTCACAATCAAATGTAAGAATATTCGCTGCACATTTTCCGAGGGTATTATAAATGCTCGTTGAATCCGACTGAACATCCAAATGAATGGAGTTATATGGACTTCGACAATCAGATCCTGAATACCTACGTCGCCAATCGACATTCAAACGTCCACAAACAAACAAGGAATTTGTGGGATTTGACTCAGATTGCCTTCCACATGATGATGAAGTCCTGAATAGCTTGGCTTGACTCATATGATATTATATTGATGCATATATGCACCTCCTATATTCGCGATGGGGAAATAAATTGGAAATAGGTACTTCAAGTTACTATATTATGTTGCGGAGGAAATATTTGCGGATGCTCTGGATCGTAGTTTGACTACTAAGTACGGTTAGATGACTCTTAGATTCGTTTATATTTTGCAAGGGAAAATAACTCAAATTTCCCAATCTATTAGGGTTTATTCAGTGTTATGATTTCATGTTTGGAATTTCGATAAACTTCTGAAGCTTATTTTATTCCTCTTTGACTGACCGACTAACAGCCAAACTTGACAGAATATATCCATAACATCTAACTTCTTTGAGAAAACTGAGGATCTCCAAAGAATTTGTAGAACGTCGTACTGGTTCTCTAGTGACATCAAAAGATTCCAGTTTTCCAGGGGTAAGTTCCGGTGTAGAATCTCCTGCAACTGAAAAAATCCATCGAACGTATTGATCTGATTGAATACCAATTATTTCCTCTTGAGAACCTGATAAGGTCTGAATTATTATGAAACATTTTCAACAAAATTTGAAATGAGAGATAATTGCTTTTTCCTTTCCTATTTTCGAAATGAAGAAAATGCTTTTTTATACCCGCGTTTATCACTGGAAGCGCCCCCAATGAGTATGTAATCGAAAATGAGAAATTAGTTGAATGTAACACGAATAATGACAAACTATTGCATTCTGTTGATATTATTCATCAGAATATACAATGTTTAAGTAATAAAATTTTGAATATTGATGTGGTTTTTGACAGTATCAAATGCGATATACTTCTTATTTCCGAACATTGGATGACAGAAAATCAGATAAAATCATACTCATTGAGCAGATTCAATCTGATAAATTTTTTCTGCAGGAAAGATACTAAAAATGGTGGTGTAGCCATTTACAGCAATAAAAACTTCAAAACTAACTGCCAAAAAGTGAATGTAGACTCTGTTTGTAGGGAAGGGATATTTGAATGTGCAGCGGTTTCACTATCCCACGATTTGATCATAGCTGTTGTTTACAGACCACCATCAGGAGATTATAAAAGTTTCCTAGATATCTTCACTGAATTTTTAAACCTTAGAACTCTTGCTATTAAGCAAGTCATCATTGGAGGT